GTATGGTTTGGTGTATTAACAGCTGTAATTTTAATGAGAAATCTGTTATCTATGGGTGAATACAGAAAAACACAAATCAGCACTTTAGCAACTCAAGATTACAGTGAATAGTTTCAGACAATTACATAAAACATAAGATGGAGGGTGGTCAGTATGTAAACTATTCAAGTGTGTGTGTGTGTGTGTGTGTGGTGTGTGTGTGTGTGTGTGTGTGTGTGTGTGTGTGGTGTGTGTGTGTGTGTGTGTGTGTGTGTGTGTGTGTGGTATATTTAAGGGCCAATGCAGCGTGATGAGGGAGGTGGATGATGGATGCTAGGCGGGAGAGTTATGCAACTGCTCCCTCTGCCCTTATGGCATCGGGCAGATACACTCCGGCGCCCAATGCTGATTTAGTAGCTGAGGATGACACAGCGATTCTACACTCTCACTTTTGCGCTCTCTATACTCATTTTCTCTCCCTCACTCACAATGGGGACAGCTGGATCTATAGCACCATATCCTCGTTGGCTTTGTGTTGTGCTGAACAAAGCATTCTGCAGCAGGCAGGCCCATTGTATAGAGTTCTGCACCAGCTACAGATGAGGGACAGACGTGCCATCGAGTGGGTGGAGCTCGGGATTCAAACACTGCGCACACATATAAAAAGGTACGAAAAGGACTGCTGGTGGTCCTGGGAAGTGTGAATTTCACATTCATACACCCACACATGACGCAGTTTTTACCTCCTGGTCATTACTATGGCTGTACTGACCTGGTCAAATTGTGCATCTTCCCCTCTCTGGAGGGATCGGGACAAGGGTTTCTCCTGTTAGAGGGGAGAGAGAGAAAGTGATTAAGAATAAGTGTGTTACAAACCGAGCAGAGATGCTGCTATTACGTGCACAATGGCAGATTGCGGTCAGTCAAGCAGCAGGCCTGATAATGAGTAAGCAAGTGAGAGAAGAACACTGAAGTTTTACTGTGGCGCATGAGCTAACTGAATAAGAGTGACGTAAGACTTCTATCAGCCTGAGTTTATTACCCTGCCAGGAGCCCCCCCCCCCATGTAAAGGACAAGAACTGAGCTGAATAAAATGAATGAATGAGGAACAGGCCAGTCAAATGGCAGTTAATCCAGTCTGTTAATAATAAACACTTTTATAATCCATGTAACTCGTGTACATAATGGCTTTCCTGTCAGTTTTGTCACAGCCTTTCCTGAAGTGGCTAGAGTCATGGCAGTTAGTTGCAAAAGAGAAGACGTTATCTCAGCAGTGTGTGCCACATCACGTGTCATGTATCAAATTTCATTTCCTGTGTTTCGTGACACCAGCTTTCACCCCCCTGTGGACTCACCAGCGGTTCAGCCATCACCATCTCGATCTTCTTCTCAGCCAGCACAGCAAACTCAGCAAATAGACTCTTGATGACAAACTCCCCAGGCTTGAGCTCGGGGTCGATGGTGATGCTCGACATGGCGGCGATGTTGTGTTTCTCCCACGAGAGGGGAGTCACCGAGGAGGGCGCACGGCGTCTACTCACGCTGCTGCTGACTGGTGCAGAAGCTGCATAAAGGACAGAGGGTAGAGGTTAGGAAATAATACAGTGGGAGCCAAAAGCAGCAGGGTCAAACTAAGAACAACACTCTTGTAAAGTATGCAGTGTCATGCACTAGTTCTAATCCAAACAGGAGCATGGACATTTCCTAAAGAGGCAAATTGACTGAATTGAAGACAGAGAGCAAGAGTGAGATATTCCAGTGCTGAATAGGGCAAACATACAACTTCCATTCAATTCCAAGCCTGTCATTATAAACTCATTTTAAACTCCCATTGCCCATAATGGGCTCAAATGACCTTAAAAACAAACACAACCATAATAATAACTCCTATTACAACTATGTCATTAATTACCAAAATCTTGCTTAAAAATCCTAATATTTGTGTTTATGTCTAAATGTAGAATAAGTAAATACTACAACCAGCTCTTTCAACAATGTTGGTCTTAAAGAACTATACTGCTTTTCTTGCAAATTTTGGTAGAAAACCAAGCAGACTTGCAGATGGAAGCAAAATAGATTTTAGCAGCACCTTTTTTCGCTTTCTTGCAAAGAGCGAGATGACAAAATAGACAAAACTCTTATGTCTGTACACTAAATATAAAGCTATCAGCCGGTTAGCATAGTTTACACTTAAACTATGTTTAAAGACTGAAAACAGGGAAACAGTTAGCCTGGCTCAGTCCAGAGGTAACAAAATCTGCAAATCAGCACCTCTAAAGCTCACTAATTAACTCGTTATGTCTCCAAGGTGTGTAAAAATGCTATGCTGTTGTTGGTGGGTTACGTGCCAGATTATTTCTTGGCTCTTTAGACAGAGACATGCTACCTGTTTTTAATTTTGTGCTAAGCTATGCGGCTGTTGGTGGTTGCTTCATATACAGTATATCGTACAGACATGAGACATATCAATCGTCTCAGCTCTCATCAATTAAGCATATTTCTTGAGATGTCAGAAAAGTCTTTGAAGCAAGATTCATAACATTTACACATCAAGTCTATAAAAAAAATGTCTTTTTGGTTGACAGTTATGTAACTTCTAACCGCTTGCTAAACTTTTTAACCGTTTAAAACTGTGGATTTATTGGTTTCAAACATGAAACATCTATCAAAAATACATTCTGTATTTAAAGATATTTACCATATCTCCATACATATTAAATCAATTACAGCAGTGAAAAAACAATTAATTAAACGGTAATATTAAAGTTGTTTCTGTTGAAGTTGATCTTCACACATCTAAAACCTCTAAGAGACTTCAGTACAAAAAATGTATAATGTGCATGATGGTGCTAAAATTTGTTGATAAATGGCCTTTTCAGCTGTGACGTCATTTATCAAAAAGATTACACAGAAATGCCATTCTGAGCACAATGCTGGCAACTGTGAGCTGAGCTCATCAAACTTATGGTGAACCCAGCTGGCGTTACTGAGAACGTAGAAGCTGACAACATGGACAGGGTGTTCAAAATGATTTTTTTCATGCATTACTTCTGCTTTAAAAACCTAGTTTGGCCAGATGTGCAGTGCTTTTTCATTTTTAGTCTTTCTTCAGGCTTACCTTAAAAATGTTCCTTATTTTTATTTTATTTTATTTTATCATCTGGTATTGAATAAATTATGTAAGTTTAAAAAAAATGTTTATACATTGTTTTTTCTGTGAAAAATTATTTCAAAAACACAAAAATAATTTATTAAACCGTTGCTGTGAGTAACCCACAAAGTGACGTATCAAACCCTGTGGCACCTGTGCGTTACTGATCGTGACATTCCTACTGTATTCATATTTCATATTCACACATTTGCAATATTAGATACCAAACCGAATAAGTGCAGCAGACATCTAACGTTACATATTAACTCACAGTCAAGACAATCCTAATTACAAAATCTAACTTAAAATACTGAAAAGTATGCTTCTACATTATTAGTGACAATTCAGGGATAATACAGAGACCATAGAATATAACATGATGTCATTGGTTCAACTCTTATGCAACCAACCAAGGTTTCATATGGCCAGTCATCATGGTGTTTAAATGATGACTCTGGTATTGTTGAATTTCTATAGCACCTTTTATGAAAGTATTTAAAAGAGCCTAAACAAAGTAAATGAAGTAAAAAAGCAGACTGGGGAAAGTTGAGTGAGGAAAGAAAAACACTGTAAAACTAAATGTCCACAGAGCTCCTTCAACAGTATTTAGACTGGTTTCCTGAAGAAAACATCCAGGGTCACTAAGAGAACCCAGAGTTCTCTGCACATTTACATGTGGCACAGATCATTTGGCCATCCTATTCAAATAATATAGCCTAAGCAAATCTTAAGGGGCTAGGTTTGGGCGTTCAGGGAAATGGCAGAGAAGTCAGAGCCGACATCTTTGGAAATAGATGTTCAACAGTCACATAAAGAGTGAAATCTTCGGGTGTTTACATATTTTTCTCGGGTAGCCCTATACCTTTGGCCATGCAGGGTAAAAATGAACCCAACCTGTATGTACAAGATAATACGGTTTTAAAAATGTTAGAAAACATAACTACCATCTATTGAATTAATAATAACAATGAATCACTGTTAAGCCAATAAATTACACAGCAGCATAAGTTTACTTTTCTTAACCTAATAAACATATATACACCTTTTAATGCAGGTGAAAAATGTATGAGTCTCTAAGATAAGTTAAGTTAATTAAACCTCATTCACAAACACTTACTCTTAACCATTTAATCATCTGGGGTGTTTAAAACCGGTAAGTGCACACGCATTAACAATAAATTACCTTAAAAAGCACTTAACTACTAACTCCATTTGCCAATAAAATGAAATGAAAAACATAAAATTGCATGACCATAATGAAACACTTGGCTGTCTTAAGCGTGTACCTAGAAAAGTTGTCATCTATTCACACAAGGCTTCATAACATTCAAGAGTGCTCTTGAGATTTATGCTACAGCTGGGACACAACTTCTACTCTACTCCACAATGGTTTCAGTCCAGCCAACTGGGCAGCCAATAGTACACTGACCCTTTACCTCATTCCCTCCCAGGAAAAGCCTTGTTCTGTTTCTTCCTGGTTGTCACAGAAACACTCATGCATTCTTAATCGTCTGAATACGGCTGAGGAGCGAAAGTGCAGGAAAAACTATTTTAGCAAAGGAAAAACATCCATGCCTCGCATATAAAGCTTTTTTGTATGATGGTAACCAAAATGTCAGAGATAAAGTTTCATTTATTGAGCAATGGGTTGTTGTACACAGTTGCCTGAGGTTAAAGTGGGATTTAGCAGGTGGAGAGACCCCTAAAATCCGGTGTAGCGGAGCAGCAGGGGAAAATGACTCAAAATAACTCCCAAACTGATTCGTACTGAGAGCGTCAATGGACTATTTTTTTGTGTTAGGTTATGTGATCAGCTGACCGTGGTTTAGGCACCCATTTTTGAGCACTTTTCTGGATCCTACTGATCCAAAGGAGGCCCAACTAAAGAAATGAGATGATGCTGACTGGACCTCTTTTTTTTTCTTCTTTGCACTGTATTGGTGAACCTGTAGCCCTCCTTTTTGTTGACATATGTCCCTGAACACTATTTTAAATGACAATAAAGTTCAGACCCTGATAATGACAGAGCCAATACGCATTGCTCTCTGTTCTGTTGCCCATGCTCGAACAATACATTTATTACATTGATTCATCCATAGACTGAGTGCCTTAGTGTTTTTCCATGGATATCTACACCACTTCACATTACGCAGGATTTCCTGGATTTCTGTTTTAATATACCTTCAGCAGTATACCCATTAAAAAAAACATATCTCAAGTATGCCTGGCCACCACCCACCTATAGAATAAAATGAAATAAAACAAAATAACAACGAAAGATTCTAAAGCATAGTGTAATTGAAATTGTTATGATTCATTTAATTATAAATGAATATTCATGCTATTTTTATAGAGCAATTGACAGTGCAGAGGTGGAAGGGGCAGCGTAGTAGCAAGTGTTAGCTGTGTTGTGGTCATGTTGTCCAGCAGCACAGAGAGCCTTTCAAGCATTTCCCTCTTTGTTTACTGTGCTGCACCAACACCCCCAATGATGTCACATAGCCAGCTCCTAATATCCAATCAGTGCTGGGTGCTCTGCCCCCTCTATCCTTCTTTTCTCTCCCACCCTGGGCCAGCTGGATTGTTGACTGGTTCACACAAATGAATACCCCAACACTGTACTTTTCCAGTTAACGACAAAACAAGAAAAAAGAAAAAACCTAAGGCGTCCTTTTCTGCGGCAAGTCTTTGCATTGGCCATCCCCTCCCTCGCTCTCTCTTTTTCCTTGAGACATGCCAGTCATTTGTGGCATGCCAAACTATGATTCCCTTCCAAAGCTGACCCCATAGCACAGATCTTTATGAATGATCAAAAAAGGAGAAGGTTGCAAACTTCTCACAGTTTTTAAGCCAGTGACTCTAAGGTCATGTTCCTCATTTCACATTCAAATCTGAATGAAAAATAAATGCAAAAGGATGCTTTGCTAATAATATGTAAAAAAGAAAGCTTGTCCTGTGCTTAAGGGCTTTAAACAAAAGCCCCTCAAGGATGGGTTTTATTTCAGGTATGTTTTGTGGCAGAATCTACTGTTGGATGTCAGTGCCGTATTGTATAATATTGAAAATGGTTTAAAGAACTGAAACATGCATCGGATGCAACAGGCTATTTTTAATGGTTTCTGACCAATTGTTTAGGGTTGGTCTTCCTCCTCATAGATCTTAACATTATCTGTCAAAATACAGTTTCTGTTTTCTGTCTCAGCCTGAAGAAAATCTATATCTGCTGCCCAAGAGAACACTAGTATCTAAAGGAATCTGAACATCTTGACCTGAAAGCTGGACAGTACTGCAACTACAGTTCTGATGTTTCTACAAAATTGCTGTAGAAAATGCTTATGTTTTGTTATGAGGGGTCTAAAAGGCCCACTCTGCCTGAGTTCTATGGTTGTGCTTAAGGAACTGAGCACGCCACA